TTACCCCTCTCGACGCACCTGACACCGTTTGCTGTACAATTTCTAGCCTGCTCAATAGGCATCTCTTTCGACTATGCTTCCCATGGACCAATATCATTGTGAAGGCAGACAGTGTTCAAAACTTGACGCCCGCTCTTGTCCACTTTATAGAAACGATTGACCGCCACTAAATCAAGGAGGCATTCGTGCAACATACCTTAGTATAACCACGACTAGATGGGTGACGAGTACATGAAAAAAACTCCTCGCATTTATTGAAATGCAGAGGATTGATTGGCGCCAATAGATGAGCCCCTTTGTGTGCGGTGTTGGGATGCCGTCGGACCTTGAGCAATCAACACGTCCACATTTTTCCACCTATTAACCTTTGTGATATACATTTGGCAGAGAAACTCCGATGTTAGGGACAGCTCCAGAACCGTTGATTGTCATAGGGAACGGCATGTGTGAAGGTTTTTGGTCTCAACAAGATCGCGGAGGAGAGTGGCGTCCTCGAAGGTCGATGGTAGATGCTCCATCATTTGTAGAGTTTCGATAGCAAACTCATCGTCGAGTTTAGTCTGCTTGTTTCCTGATCTTGCGAAACTCTCTGACAAGCTTGAATGTGCTTTCAATGTCCAGACACAGCAATAGCGTCGAAGCGGCCTGTTGAAGCCCTTATTGTTACATGTGTCGTGAATAGGCGCAGGAGACTGCTTGTGACTGACTGCAAGTGATGGTCGAGAGGAAGGGGAATTGCCAGTCGGCCCAGTAGAACTTGGAGGAGCAACTATTGCTGTTTTAACCAGTTAACGAACGGCCAAGTCCCCTCGAGTCCCCGGGGTCACCGTCTGAATAAGAGCCAACGGTCTGCAGCTAACTCAAGCGCTGTGGCCTGGCTTCGGGGTTTGGTCCGGGTCAGAAAAGGAGACTTCATCCTGAAGAAGCGTGTCATTGACAGCGAGAACATGTCTGCGATACAACTCTACCAGGTTTGCCGAACCAGTTTCGAGACCCGAATCCTGAATCCCGAACAGAGACAACTCCTGCTGCGTCGCGCCTGGGCTGATTGAGGCGTTGCCGTGACTGAAGTACTCGGCGCTTCCATTCTGACTCGTCGTCAAGCGGCTCCCGCTGAATCTTTGAGCCTCTTCTGAATATGGCGCATTGAAGGACTCTAAGCCAGTTGGCAATACCGAACGACCACTAATCTCAATAGTCTGACCCCTCGCCAAAGCCGCGGAAATGGAAAGAGTGTCAGCTCCCTTATTTTGCGCGACAGTGCTGTTCACGAAGAGGGGATAATCAAAGGTACGTGAATACCCTTCTGAAGAAACGGCTCTGCCAAATGTGTTCTGTGTGGTCACCTGGACATTGCCGAAGTCTGAGATTTCATCCTCGTTTGAATATCTCAGATATTGCTGCCAAGTGGCAACTTTGGTACCCCGGGATGTCTGTACTTCCGACGAGATATAGAGCTGGCGATCCACATTGACGGTGTAGGAAAGGGTGCAATTTGTTCCGTCTGAAGCGGCACCGACTGTAGACGACAGAGAAATAGAGAATCCGGATGCATCTACCAGAGTGTGACTCCCAGACGTTGCATGCCCTGCGGAATCTAGCCAGACAAATATCTTGCCTGTGAGAACCTGGTGAAATATAAGCGGAGTGTGTCATGATCGTAGAGCCGTGCTCACCCAATAACTGCCAACGTCCTCAGATAGAAATCCACTGCCATTACCGTCGTCATCCAGTCCGATGACTCGAATCTCTATGTCATGACTTTTGCCGTCGCAGAGCAGCGGCAGCCAAGGTGTAATATCAATTTCATCTTCGCGGATGTCGAACGTATCGATTCCCACGACAGGCCTCCAGAAGCCACGGACGATGCCGCCGGTGAAGATGATGGGAAAAGGCCACACAACCCCAGCCAAGGTTCCATCAATTAGCAACTGTACCTCACGAAAGGGGGAATAGCCTAGAAGAGAGTCGACTCCAAAAGTATCCACGTTGGAAGAAAGCACATTGGAATACCAAAACTCTGTGCCAATTGTCAGCAGATCCTTACTCTTGCCCAGGAACCAGCCCACCTTCCATCATCTGACCAGTCGCAGAGACGGTCACGACAGCCCGCTCGATGTTTTGCGGCAGTACCATAGAAGTCGACACTCTACGTTGACAGTGATTCCATTGACTGGACTTGTTGCTGGCGCTTCCATCGGCTGAAATTGGAATGATCATATCCGCCCGCTTCTCTGCGTCAGCGGAGGTGAAAAAGGTCGCCTGTAGAGTGACGTTGAATGGGGAGGTATAATTTTCGTTGATCAGATTACCGAGGTCAAATATCAGTGTTTGGGGCTGCGTGAACAGTGCTAGAAGATAGGACACATCTTTGACATAAGTCCATCTGGCAGAGGTCAGAGGATTGTATCTTAGGCCCAGCAAAGAGCTTACATGATCCCGCCAGGAGTTGGTTCCGCTGTGCTTGTCCGCCAGATCTCAACGTCACCAAGGTAGGCTATCGCTAGTCGGTCGAACTGCTTGCCAGCGGCGGTAACGGTGAGGTTGAGAGTCACTCGGTTGAAATCACAATGAGGGGGTGTATAGGCGCCCACGAACGGGTGCCCATAGCTGTTTCCGAAGGAATGAATCATGAGAGTCTTAGTTACGACACATCCTGGAGGACCAGAAACAAGAGGTGTAGCAGATCTTCCATCATCTTGAATCAATGCCCGTTGCGCGACAGTATCCGGTGTCAAGACGGGTGGGTGAACCTGGAAAACCCGCAGCATTGAAGCGACAACGGCAACAATTGACTGCGCAGAGGACCTCATCCTGAATGAGCTGACAGTCTGCGATCTTATGCACTGGTGACGTTGATGCCAGTGCCAGCCAACAGCTCAGATGTTCTAGATCTTGAAAGGTGTAGTTGCAAACTGGCTGGAGGTATCAGTACCTTGACTGCGGTTCGTTCCAGAAGGGTGGCTCACCGTAAACTGTTGCTCTCTTGACCCGCCACACTGTAGACTCACGAACTGTTGAGGTCTTGTGCAGCCCTTTGATCTAGCTTGTAAGTTGTCCGTAACATCATGACGAGGTGGAGGGGAGCACCAGAAGTCGAGAGAGAAGGCGAGATGACGGTGAAAGGTTTGAATTGATTTCAAATTCTAAAATTCCAGAACCATCAAGTGCCGGACGCACAACCAAGCTTCTCAAGATTTGCATTCAATGTGCGAGTTCCCGTTGCAGATTCCTAATGAGAAATGCACTTCAACTTCTACGGTATCTAGTATCGTGGGTTCGAGCTTCTACGTGTCACAATACCAGCATCTCTCGACAAACTGTAGGATGGCTGCAGTGCCTCTTCCAGAGCGTCCACGAAGGCCCCTAGATTTGTTCCAATGCATCCAATTCTAGAGAGGAGATCGGAAATCAACAAGTCTATCATAGCATAATCTTGTGTGATTCCATCTGTGCATTCATACAGGCAGTTGGGAAGGGAGAGAGCTGTACCGAGTACTGAGTAAACAAAGTTGTCAATAAAGTGCTGTCCACTGGTCTAATGCTGCGCCGGAAATTTCTGCGCCTTCCCAGCCACGCAAGAACCAACACAACCTCTTGCTATGCCATATGCCCATCGTCGCTCAGTCCTGACACAAATGGACTGCGCGAATGGCGCCGATTCCTGCTCTGGAGCATATCTCCAATCCTTTGATCACTCCAGCGCAGCTGCTCAAGTTCCAAAATGCCGAAGACGATGAGAGCTCGACCTCATGGTTTGCCCAGTTTCAACTCACATCCGCTGCTGGTATCCTCCTCCGCCTGGCGCAGGAAGTCATCGCGCATGGCACGGTGCTGCTACAACGGTTCCTAGTCTCTTCCACCCCGAACGACCATCGTAATTTCAGTTCCAGAGACTACTCTGCTGCTGCCATCTACCTCGCGGCAAAAATATCTGCGACGCCAGTCTCACCTCGATCAGTCATTAACGTTTACGCATACTTGACGTCCGAAGCCTCTCCACTGCGATTTGTCAATCCGGCTGGCTCCCCCACGGATGTTGAACCTCGGAGTTATTTCGTGTCCGAAGGGACGTATGAAAGAGAGAGACAGCGGTTGTTTGTGTGCGAGAGTATGATACTGGTTGGCCTGGGGTTCGACACACGAGTCGCATTGCCTTACAGTCTGGCCTTTACGTATATGCAGGCCTTGGGAGTGTCCACCACCGAGCTATCCCAGAGAGTCTTGGAACATCTGAACGCAGGCCTGCTCTCACCTCAGCTTCTCTACCTCACTCATCAACCTAATGCGCTTGCCGTGGGGGCAATATATCTGGCAGCGCGGGAGATCGGGGTCAAACTCGTGGAGCAGAATTGGTGGGAAGTGTTTGACGTCGACAGAGAAGACCTGGGCTTCCTGGTTTTGTCTTATGGAAGCATGGCCAATTTCGCCCAAGCCGAGATGGAGAAGTGGAAGAGCGAGCCCGTTCGACTGGACTGAGCTCATATTGGCCGTTTCACCCTGAACCTCATACCAGCACTCTCAGCGACAATACCCATCGGGCACGTAACGGAACGAGTTTTCCAATGGTACATCTTGGCCAGGGTTGCGCTGTTAGACTATTCCCTCACCACCAATGACACTCAGCCTCAGGTTCTTTCCAATTTGATCCCAACGACAGACCATCCACGTCAGTCTCTCGCCGAGACCATAATTCGGTGTTGGAAATCACCACCAGTTCACCCTCTTGCCTGTACGTGCACCTAGTCGAAGACTCCTTCGCCAACGTCCTTAAACACCATGGCCACGTCCTCTAGTCTCTCCTGCTGCGTACGCTTCTTCACGCACTTCCTCCACCACACCGGGGCGGCTCGGCAGAACTTTTGTAGTTCCATTATGAGAGGCTCCTGCAATTGCTTCGCGCAGTACAAACGAATTTGACGATCATTTCCGTCGTGCAGTTTCTCGAGGGCTAAACTCCTTTTCCAGAAGCCCATCGACGATCTTAGAACCAGCCTTGATTACCTCTTTCGCTTCCTGCCGCTCGTGTCTGCGGAGGGGCTGCATGTGGCGTTGAACGAGTCTCTCTCCGTATCTGCGAATGGGGGCCGAGGCATGGTGCTCAGGAGACAGTCGACCTTGGACGACCGTTTATTCCCTTTGCCCTTGGTATTTTTGTTCTTTGTCAACTCCTTCACTTGCTTTGTCGGGGGGTTCGACTTCTTTGCTGGCACGAAGTCGTCATCCCCACTTCCAGGACTGCGTACTCTTTTGTGCGGCGAGCTCGTTCGAAGGCCAAACCTGTCTTCTTGCGAGTAGCGGGCCGGTGTCGATTTGGGGCTGCCTCGGGAGATTAACCGATCTGTCACTGGAGTTGTATAAGATGACACCGTTGGCTTTGAGCAGGGAAGCTTGCTGAAATCTCTCAACTTGCTACTCGGGTGCGGTGCGTTTGGTGAGCGATTAGGTGTGGTCACTAGCTGACTTGACTGATCAGTGGCCTGACCCTGCTCAACCAGATGCGGCGGATTCATGGCTTCTCGCTTCACAATTCGGTCACTGGGGGCAGGGACATTTGTCGATTCTCCTCCTAGACCTTCCACTCCGTTGGTGTCCTCAACTGGCTCTGCTTTCACTTTCGCCTGACTGCCATTCACAGGGGTTTCGACCCGGCCGTACAATCTAGCCAGCCTCAGGCGGAGTTGTAGCTTTTTGCGATCCAGATCCAACTGGCGCTGCTCGATCTCCAGCTCCTCAAGCTCGGCGTTGATGAGGTCTTCGTTGTCCATCGCTCGGAAATGCTGCGGTAGGCGACTGAACTGAATGGGTTTTCAGAGGTGAGTGATGGTGAACGAGGTATTGCCAGAGTCGAATGCCACGCCTCACCTCGAGAAAGACTCGTGAGTTGAATATGAGAGTGAAAAGATTGCAATAAAATAGGGACGAAAGACACGTTTTATTAAGGCGAGGGACAAGCAATATCAACGCCAAGGACGTGAAAAGATGATCTCTTGATATCGTACGCTGTCTGGTCTCTGTCAACGAGGCTCATTTCTTATCACTCGCAGTCAAATGATTGGGCACATGACACTCAAGGGACTTGTTGTTATCAGGTATCTCTCATCGCATCCTGAGATACCCCTTATGAACACATGAGAGAAAGGGTCAGAGAAGCTTGGAACCTCTCCGGGTCATTCTCCCTGGTCCGTATCACTGTAAGACGGACACAGGATTCGAGCCGTTCCATCCTCCCAGCTGCACAGTTGTAAACACACTCCCAGAAACTCCCGTCAATAGAGCGCCGAACTGAACGTCCTCGTCAGAAATATTCTCAAACCAGACTGTGACCATCTCCCAGAGTCGGCTCTGAACCCAGATTGCAATGCTTTGCTCCCTCCCTCTCCGTCTCCTGACTTGGTTCGACTGACTGCTCGGGCCGAGTAAACCGGGTGTTTGTTCGCCCTGCACCATGCACGGTCCACGCATGTTCTCTCAAGCCTTTTTTCCCTCCCCGTATTCTGCCCGACACTCCTCCAGGCTGAAATTATCCTCCGCGACGTCCGGGAACACCTTTGTGATGAACGAGATCCTCTCCTGCTGGGTGTTTAGCGCTTCACACACCGGCCACCACGACTCCTGCGCCCATTCAAACTTGTCGAGTTCGACCACCAGAGCGCAACGCAGCCGAGAATCCTTGGCGTGCTTGTTCACAGCCGCTGTAAAGTCCTCGTGGAGAAGGGCGATGCTGTGGTGTGTACTCCCGAACGTGACTCTTCGCAGCTTGGAGGCCACAGTCGGTTTCTGGAAACACGCGTAGCCGAGTGTAGACTCGATCGATGTCATGTGCTTGAGCAGAAGACCCGTGTAGTGTTTAACGAGGTCGTACTGTTGAGACTCTGTCATGGGTCCTGGGACGTCGGTGCCTTGCTTTTCGTCCCTCGGGGACACTCGTCGTCGTTTCGCCCTGGCACAATACCCGCCTGTAGAGTCACTTGTGTCGACGTCAGAGTCAGAGTCTAAAGTAAGGACAAAGGTATCCGAGTGCGTGCTTTGCTTTTGCTTTGCTAGTAAGCTCGAGGGTTTGCTCGGTGGACAGCCAGTAAAGGCTGCTAAGAGCTTTTCGTGACGTTCTTGAGACTTTCTCTGTGCGGCCGTTTGCTCTTCTGGCTCGTAAGTGAAGAAGCGATTCCTCATCTTCCCACCGATTGATCTCGCTCCTGACCCCTTGCGCAGACAGAGCCTCGGAACTAGACAGACGTTAGTTTTTGCAGGACAGGCGGGTTACATTCTCGTTACATTTCCTAGTCTCGCAGTTCTCATTTCCCACCTTCTCTCGGTCCTTTTCGACGGCTGGAGTCCCACTCAAGTTGACAGCGGTGCCATCTGTTACGGGAACACTCGACGAAACGTCTGCTTGCAACTCAGTAGGAGATCCGTCCTGCGCAGCAGTCGCTCCAGTCTCGCTGGGATCGTCACGCTTAGCTTCAGATTTGACAGTGGCATCGCCGTCGGCCGACTCGGCGCTTCCCTTGAGCAGTTTGAGCCGGCGTTTGATGTCGAGCTCCCGACGTTCAAGCTGTAGTTGACGTTTCTCCAACTCAATCTCGGCAAGTTCGTACTCGAGCCGTGCTTTATCGTCCATGATGGCTCGGCGAGCTTTGAGAGTGAGTCGTGCTCGGGGAACTTTGCAACTTTTCAACGACCGGTAGATGAAATCAGAGAGAGAAGTCTGGATTTGAGTGGTGTATTTTGCCGGTTATGTTGAAGGGCAGCGAAAAGGGGAAAAGAACAGAAACGCTAAGGACGCGAAAGTAAACATTTGGTCAGTCTGATGAGGTCGAGACAAGGATGTAAACAGAACAAGAAAGGTTTCGAGGAGTCTGCCAGACCTCAAAATCCATTGTTATCATATTGACAAAAAGGGACAGACTTCATTCAAACATCTCTTCTTCAACCAGTCCGTCAACCCAACTCACTCTAGCCCTGGACTCTGTAGAACAATATCATATCTGTAGAGGACAATAGACACCTGGGCCGAAGTACATAGCCACTGCCATTGTTCTTCCTCGCCAGTGAAAGGAGGTCGACCAAGTACAGGTACATGGACTCACTCAAACTACGGCGATGGTAGGTACACGCTCAAGTATATGTATCGGCCTATCGCTCTCGAGTAGTCCATGTATGATCTTGTGCATTCACACCCACAAGAAGATATCCGAAGGCCGCGAGTTCAATTCTCGCTCTGGACAGATTCTTTTTGTTGGTCCACAGGCCATCAAATATTTTTTGGAAAAATCTTATAAGAGAATTTTTGTCCCTTGGTGAATTCTTCGTTAATACTGTACAAGGCACAATTACAGATAGTTATATACAAGGTAGGTGGCCCGAGACCATGCGCTTGCCATGCGGCCAAAACGGCCGAATTTCTTCTAGTAGTCGTTCTAGCAATTTGTCTCTTTTACGTAGAGCGGTGTCGTCAGCCGGTGACCGCCTGACGGAATCCTGAGACTTACTACATGTAGACTGGTGATTTTTGGAAGAATAACTACAAAGCTGACCGGACGTTAGAAATCACCAAATAGACAGAGCCAAACCTCTGCCTACCGCGATATTCTCCCCTCCGAAGCACCTTCAGGCCACGCTCTCTCTCGCGTCAACAAAGATGTCTACCCGCGCTAACGAGTTCATCGCCGAGACGCTGGCTCAATACACCCCCCGTGCCGCGAACTATGACCTCTCACACGGTGGTTGGCACGTGGAACTGGGCCGAGATTTCGTCACCTGGTTGCCTCCTCCCAAGGGCGGTGCAGTACTTGACCTCGCATGTGGTACTGGTTTAGTCACACTACCTCAAGCTGAGGCGGTCGGATCTGGTGGCATCATCGTCGCAGTCGACATCACTGAGGCGATGCTCAACGAAGCCAAGCGCAAGCCGCTCCCCGTGGGAAGCGCAGAGGTGAAATGGGTGTTGGGAGACATCACCGACCTTTCCTCCTTGGAGGAAGTCCAAGGGGTGGTGAAGGAAAGGGGAGGATTTGACGTTATTTCGTGTTGTTCGGCGTTCGTCTTGCTTGAGGATTCCGCAAGGGCCATCAGACACTGGGTCACCCTTTTGAAGCCCGGAACCGGAAGATTGATCGTTGACGTGCCCACAGAGGATCGTAATTTGCAGTACCTGCTCAACTACCCACTCCGGCGCGCGTTGGGGAAGTCCATGGTCTACGATTTCGACTGGATACAAGGTATCCAGACCATACAGGACCTGTTCAAGGATGCCGGGCTGGAGATAGAAAAGTCCTTTCGCACCAGGAGCTACATCCCTGAGCAGTGGTACGGCGCGGATCAGGCAATGGAGGCACTCGAAGGAAAGACCAGTCGAAGCGGGTTGTGGAAGAGTCTTTTCGACGGCCTCGAATCCGAGGGAGGGACAGAATCCGTGGAGAAAGCCAGGAAAGCGTGGGCGCGCATTTGGCAAGACCACTTGAACAAGGATGGCAGATTGTGGGACGGACACGCTTTGTATGTCTCGATAGGAAGGAGGGGAGAGTGATCTATAACCATGGTTCCGCTCGACCCGTGTTCCGTCGACCAGCGACGGTGTTGTACAGGGACTCGACTTCCTATCGTTGAACAAACACCACGCCCGCATCTTCAGGTCGACGCATCTTCGGTGTGATGATATTCATCGAGTCCTCCAGCACCTGCAACAGCGCCGAGCTGGCCTGCTCTTCCGTCGTCATTTTCCCCTCCATGATTAGCGGTTTCAGGCGGCATTTGCTGAGCAGTGTCGAAATGACGGCTACGAATTCGACCTGGCTGAACTTCTTCCCAGGACAGACCCTGGGCCCGACACTCCAGGGCACAAACGCGGCGCCCGGTGGAGGATGAGCGAGGGACTCGACCCCTGTCGCCGGGTCGGTTACTATCCAGCGCCGTGGGTTCCATTTGAGTGAGTCGCCTCCCCACCACCGTGGGTCGGAGTGGACAGCATATAGATTTATCGTCACATACGTCTCGACTGGCACCATGATTTCTTGGCCCTTGACTCGCAAAGAGTGTGGTTGGCCGACACACCAGCGGTTCGTCGCAGGCACTGGCCCCCAGAGACGAAGGGTCTCATACTGAAATCTGTGAGCTCGCGCAAAAGAGGATCCAAATTTGCTTCAACATACCATCAGTGCCAAACACCTCACGAGTTGCGGAAACACCTCTTCGTAGTCGAGCTTTCGACCCTCCCACTTTTTCAACACTGCGTCCACTTCTTCGCCCGCCCAGTCCTGGATCTCGCGGTTGGTGGCCAAGAACGGGATTGTGTAGGTCAGTGCGTTCGCCGTGGTCTCAAAGCCGGCCAGATTGAAGATGTACAGGTTACCTAGCAATTCCGTGTCACTGAGGTACATTGGCTTCGCCCCAGCGCCGTGTCCGGCCTTCTTTTGTTCTCTTTTCGCCGCCTCGTCGGCCTCCACCAGGGCGCTGACGATATCGGCCCCGCTGCTGCTGCCTCCTCCCTGCGTGATGGCCCGGTTGTAGGCGACGATCTCCTTCATGTATCGAATGAACTCGTCCGTCATGGCGGTGACCTGTCGATATAAAGCAGGCATCATCCAGCGGAAGACACGTGCATTTTTGAACAGCACGGCGAAGAGAATGTTCTGGAGGAGAAACTTCAACGACTCGGCCAGACTGGTTTTGTGGCCCTTTGGGATCTCACGAAAGCCTCCGTCAAAGTCGTGAATGTGTCCAAAACCGGCAGCGGAGAGGACGTGCATCGCGATCAGGACGCAATCGTTCCGGACGTCAAGCATTGATCGGCAGCTATCTGCTCGATTGGCAACCACCTCGATCATCTGCCTCGCCTGGCTCAGCGACTCGTCCCACACGAGCCTGTTGTTCTGCTCACGGAAAGCTGGGTTGACGATTCTGCGGTGGCGCTGCCAGTCTTCGCCGTTGACGCTGATAACATTTGGGCCGAATGCATTGAAGAGCTCGTACAGCGGTTGCGGCTTGACCCACGCTTTGTACTGGGTCTGCAGGTCCACGGCCACGCCGGGGTCGTTGACCACGATCTCGTTCTGCTTTGGGGAAACAACTACAAAGACGTCGCCGTACTTTTGGTGCGGGTGGTACCGCTCGTCCTGGGCCCAGGAATGGTAGCTGAGCACAAAAAAATGCCCAATCCAGGGCAAATGGCGGAGGTGCCTCAGGTACGGATAGGCCAGAATCAAGAAGTCGTCCTGCCATGAAAAGGGGATGACGACGATGGGAATCCCCAGTTTTCTCACTTGCAGGTAGTTGACCAGCAGCCCGTAGGCGCGTGCCACCAGCAAAGCCAGGAGCGGGATGCAGATGAATGACACGACCGTGGGATTCCACGCCATTATTGAGGTTTGACTAATTTGTATATCCAGGGTAAACTATCTGATCCTCAGAGGACACGAGTGGTGAAGGGAACTTTTGAGCCCAAAGAATGAAGAATGAGGACAAACCCTTTTTGTAGCCGTCTCGCCGTGCCTTGATGATGGCTGGATGCCTGACAAGGGAAGCCGGTTTCGTATTCGGATTGTAGCATGCCGTATGTCGTATTCGCAAAGTGGCTAATGGCGTATTCACAGTGTTGGAAGTCGGTCCGTCAGGCCCTACCACACGAGTCGAGATGCATCCGATTGGGGACAAATTCCGGGGATGGAAAACAATTTGGGAACGGACAAGAATCAAGAAAATTCCCTGCAGCTGCGGTTTGACTCGCCCGCCCCGGCATTCGGATAAGCGGCCAACCGATCAGAAAGCATTTGATATCCACGCGGAGTTGAGTCTGCCGTCTAGTGAGAAGTTCATCTAATGTGTATCGACACGTGTCGCCAGCTCACGCTCTTTCGGGAGTATCATAATTGGTGCTTTGGTCTCATACCACCTCTTCTGCCTGAAGTATCGTTATTTACCCCATCGCCTGAAAAGAACCTCCTGCGTCTCCGAAAATGTGTCCTTCAAGAACCACTCTCACTCAGTTGGATCGTTGGCACTGACAAAACAAGTGGCTCCTTCGACCGAATCCACCCAAGAAGCGTCGAGGATGTTGGACGGCGCGCCAGACTTCATGGTGGTTGAGCCACAGACCACCGCATTGCCGTTCATGGCGCCACGATGTCCGCAAGTATAGTCGCAGGTGACATAGCTGGCATCGGATGTGGTTGATATCATCTGGATTGCCTGTGGGTGGCTCAGCGCTGCCAGTTAGGAGAGGTCAGTATGCTCTGGGGCTGCCAGTGGGAGAGTGTGGGAGACAGACGATTGAGGCTGTGGAGAGTCTTGTCTTCGTTTACATCAATGACGACTGCTGTATCGACGAATATGTCGCTACCTGTAGCAAATTTGCGAACAACAACGCTTCCTCCGAGGGCGCGTTTGGGTGGTGGATGTCCATGCGCCCATCCTGTGCTCAGGGTGAGAAGGGCAGCAATGGCTATGATCTTCATTCTGTATCTGTCGATAGGACCGGCCCAGCGAGGACGTCTGCGGTAGTACACTATAGCAAAGACCAAGTCCACAGCGGCCACTCTCAGGTCTATCCGAACCTATATATGCACTGCTGGAGAGTAGCGTTAGCATCACGCCTCTACACATCACATCCATCCATCTCCTAAAGGATGCCGCTCGCAGCTGAAGTGTGCTTGACCTCTCTGGATAGTTTTCATAGTACTTTTTAAGCCAATCGAGCATCGAGATCGGTGGCTGGCTGAACTCTCAGGTCTGCTCGTATTTTTGGTTTCGTTGGAATGCAGCTCTGATTGATTGGAGACATGGGCCTGCGCCGGATATGGAAGGCGTTCACACCTCACCGTGTCAACGACACTGGTGATCGCGGGTTATCTCTGCTTATTCTTCTTACCAGAGAAATGGATTGCGTCAAGCGTTTGACGCCGTCTGGCGCCGTGTAAACAACGGGCATGACGGACGAGGTCTGGATGGTGAGGAACCACGAGGCTGAGACGTGAGCAGACGAGGCTGGTTCAGGCGGAGGAGGCGGCGCAGGCAATTGCCAAGACCTGCGCTTGTGTCTGACCTCCACCCTGCGCCTAAGATTCTCAAACTACCCTACGCTTTTCCTCCAGTTTCATCCTCTCCCCGGTCTTTGTCTCACCTTCTGGCACGATGGGAGATATCCGATGAGAGCACTGCCCTGTGCTTGCTCAACACAACCACCCTAGTGTACCGAGTACGCCCTGCCCCATACTGACACTTTTCTCGTTTCGCCTATCTACCTAGACCTAGATCCTCGTCTATGCATTTCAGCAGCCTCTTTTCATCTGGCAGAACTGAGCAGTTACTCCCAATTGTCAGCCCAGAATCGAGCTCGCTGTTACCCCGAATTCAGAGGTGTGCGTCTGCATCGCACGGTTCAAACCTACATCATCTCCAACATATGCTTCACAGAAGCAACATCCGTCAATTAGGGACGCTACTTTGGGCCAACTTTGCCTAGAGCCATGACGAAGGATTAGTTTGTTTGAGGCTATACAAGGGCTTCCCTTGAGAATCCGTCTGCCCGCATGACACCGTCGTGGTCTCTGACTCCATTTCAAAACAGTCTATTGATTCTTCAAACGATTTGCACGGGCACATTGCGCTGCGGTAACGATTTAGACGCAGGATCTGTGCCTCGCCAAAAGAACCATTACAGGTCCCGTATCGTCACCGACTTGGGATTGCTCCGCATTCGCTTGGCTCTTATCATCGGAATCGCTTTGGCCTGGGACAAGATAACTGTGAAATCAGATTGCAAGTTACCACTAATGCCTTTATCGTCACCTGTCTCTCGAGAGGCATACTTGCACTATATTGGGGCCAAACTTTCTATCCATGTCGACATTCCAGACTCATTATGTCGCTTGCCCTTGCCGCGCAGAACGCCACTGTCACATTCGTTCATGCAAGCTGGATGCTGCTTCAATAGCTTCTCGGCATAGAGGAGAACGAGGAAGATGCCAGGCTGTGTCCTTGACGGGGCAAAATAATGGTGAGGTATAGTCGTAGAAGTGTTTTATGAGAGATCCTTGACGAGAGCCTTCTACATAAACCTCACGGTAGGTCTGTCTGAATGCTCATTGTTTGTGCCTGTCTCCTCCTAGCAAGTTCGAAATGTATTTCAGCAACGCAAATATACTTTTGCCCATTCTCGTCCTACAAGGCCTCGTCCTTGAGGCCGTCCCTGTGGAGGCAACAACAGTATTATCTGACCGAACAGCCTTCCGCACCTTGAGACCTATTGCGAGACATCCCCGGCTCTCCAGAAGGAAAGCGGACCTCGGACCAGTTCACAGCGCTGAACTAGGATATGCAGACGGTAACATCAATTTGACAGATAGAAGAACCCGAGGCTGACCGCAATGAAAGGCGATGGTCAACAACGTCCGATCTTCTTGTCGTCTGTCCAGTTCCAGTCCGACAAACCAGTACTTGTGCTTGAGCAGATGGAGGACTTCTTTGCGGACATTCAGTGTTCTGACAGAGACATCACTATTTTATTCCACACCACTGCGGCATTTCAGGAAGCAAAACAGTTATGGAGGGACCTTGACAGTGCCTATGTTGTCGCTAATCATGCAAATTGTTCTGATGATGGACAGCGGACCACATTCCAGTAAGCGATATGCCTGTCCACATTGGCGTCAGGTCAGATCTCATGCAATGATGGCACTAACTGAACCAAGAATCCGCTATATTACCTTCGAGAAAGATTACAGCGTTGCAATTCTCCACACAGAGAAAGTAACATGGCAAGATGCTTTCCACAACTTCCACTTGAAGTTCGGAAACATCAAAGAACCACATTCGCCTGCCCAGCAGCCACAACACTTGGATCGAAGACAAATCTCCGACGAAACAACGCCAACATCAACCTCCGCTCCACTGGACCTGACAGCAACGTCTTTGATCCCCACGGACGCCTCGACTGCCACGTCCACTTCCCTGGCTATTGACCTCAGCCATGGTGTCCAAGACTCTTGGTTTCCAGACACTGTGCAATCCACCGGCACCCAGCTCCCCATCAAAATCGGCTGTAAAGAATGCAGCACCAACGGCACTTTGAGCCTCGCGCAGGGCGAGTGGAGCATCCTTTCCCCGGCCGACTGGATTGGAGCCGAGGACTTAACGGACATCGTCTCTGCCGGAAATGTGCAGCTCACTGTTGAAGGGTTCGTCGCGCATGTGGAGGTTTCGATCGAGCCTAGTTTAAAGGGAGACATGAGTCTGTCCTTGTTCAAAATCCCAGTTTTCGGATTCTCGGTAAGTCGCAAACCATTTTGATCAAGTCAATAGAGCCATGTCCTAACACGGAATGTGTAAAGATTCCAGAGCTCGGGTCTGGCGGCATTCTCTTCGAGCCAACATTGTCCTTGGGATGGGAACTGTCTGGGGGCATTGAAATGTCCTATGGTTTTGAGTTGAAGGTATATTCCTCTTGAACTACGAGCAAGGGCTCGCTAATATTCGTGGTATTTGTAGATCCCGAATCTTTCAATCAACCTTGATTTTGCAGACCCGACCTCCTCGAACGTGACAGGGCTGTAAGTCTCCACAAACACGAGGCTACCATTTATGGAGTGGCTGACTTCTTGTCCGCAGTGACGGCGTATCCATCACGGACGTCCCCTTCCAGGCTAATGTCTCCGACATCGATCTCTCTCTCAGCCTCTCTCTCACGCCACGAATTACGCTCGGCATTGAAATCCTGCATGGCTTGTCCGCCGAAGTAGGCACATCCCTTGACCTCCCCAAGGCCACCGTCGCCATCACCCAGCTGGCCACGACTTCCGTAAATGCCAGTTGTGCAGATTCGAGCGAAGCGCCGGCCTTTCAAGCCGATTTTGAACAGCAGTTTCACAATCTGACTCATGTCGCCATGGGCGTCGAGTTGGGCGCGGGCTTCGACATGAGTGCCCGAGTCGACCTGCTACCCAATCTTGCCTTCTCTAGCGCTTTGGAGCTGGCGACTGTGCCGGTGGCCGCACTCCCAACGCGGTGTTTGGTATTCCAGACCGACGCCCCTTCGGGTCCGGGGTTTACACCAGCGGTATCAGCGCTTGCACAGGTCCAGGCTCGAGCTGTCGCTTCTGCATCTGCTGCTTCGGCCTCTTCTGCTTCTGCTGCCGCAGCGTCTGCCGCCGCCACAGACCAAGGCGGGTCAGCTAACTCCGCCGAAAATGCGGCACCAGGTCGAATGGGTGCTTGGCTCGATTCTCCGATGGAAAGAACCTGCTTCTATGTGCTCTTGGTCACGGCTTGCCTCTTCATGAGTTTGTAACAATATAGTGTTGAAAATTATAGAGCACATGCCCGGCAGCGGCTAGGCAGTGTTCGATGGTAGCATAGATGCTGAAAATGAAGCATGTTCTCCCTGAGGCTGTTGCATTCTGACAGACTTCCAGGACGTATTCGACCAAAACGTTTCACCCATTCCGTAATTTGCTAATACACAAGAAACCTGGCCATTACAAATCGCCCTGGCATTGATTCGCTGATCCATCACCTCGACGGGCTCAGAGGTCTGTTGAATCCACCGACACGATTCATGTACTGTCTGTAGGTAGTCTTCTTTTCCTTCCTTACGCCGTAGATCTGGTTCCCAGGCACCTTGGTGTTGTGTGTCGTCTTGAACATGGTAAACCCCATCATCTTCCTCAGTAGGGCGTCTTCGTCGTCTTCATCAATGGCCATGGTATCGCCGTTGGCTACTGGTTTATCCGCGTGGGCGGACACATCCTCTTCCCCTCTGGCCTTTGGTGGCTTCACATCGTCATCCTCGGTCTTGTTCCTGTCCCGAGGTCTAGTCCGATCATGGTCGCTTCGCCGAAGAGGGGAGCGTGTGCGCACAGCATCACGACCGCCGTTCCGGGCCGGTGAGCGTGATCTTGAGCGTCGGTGTGAGCGTTCAGCTCGGTAATCTGTTGTCGCGTGAGCACGGGAACATATATGCATGGTGGAGTTCAGTGGTTTGATTGTTACCTTTTGAATCTCGCTGTCTGTCACGGCTCCTCTCTCGCCGACCGTGGCCATTGACATCTCTGTCTCGTCCACCGCCACCTCCTCTGTCTCGATTTCGATCTCTATCACGCTCGCGCTCCTTGTCTCTATTCCTGTCCCGGTCCCGATCTCGCTCACGGTGCGCTGGTCTCTCTCTTGATCTGCTCCGATCCCTCCGTCCGTCGGGGGTGTCTCGCGACCTCGATCTCCTTCTGCGCTCGTCGTCTCGTCTGGGCCCGCGGCGATCCTCGTCCTGGGTGTCGCGCGGCTTGGGCTTGTGGTCACGTCCGCTCGAACTAGGCAGGGAGTCTGGCGTCTCGTTCTCATCCCACATGGCGGCACTCGTTGTGCGTTTTGTGCGTTTCGCTGGACGTTCATCCATGGTTGCAAGACCGCCGGATGCCTCGAAAGGTGACAAACTTCTGAATTGGGTCCGAGCAGGGTGTCACTGCGGAGCAGGTGGAAATTTCGGTGGTTGTACCAGATCCGTTCGAACTTCTCTCCCGGGAGTATGCCGCGACGTATAGTACGATGGATCATTCGGCAACAGTGACGCAACATTCTTCAGAATATGCTCGGAATCATTCCAGCAACGCAGAAGGTATTGTCGACTATTGAAACCATATAATTTGAGGTCTTTGGTGCTTTGAGTTCTATTTTGTCTGTTTTTGCGAATCCTTTGGTGTTGCAGGCGTGTAGAGAAGAGGAGGCTGAGCTCCTCAGGTGCACGGGGCGCAAATGCAACAAACTCACCAAACAAAGCAAACTTCGTCATTACTTGTTTCCCCTCAACGGTCGAGGCACGCCAGGCTGAGCGGTCACGAACACCCTCTTCCAGTGCAGCCTACTTCTACACGTCTTTCTACTTACGAAACACTCTTCTCTAATTTGTATCACCAATTTTCGATTCTTACTTGTGTACTCCAGAGAACCTGAGATTTACCAGTCATCAACGCGCGCTGCTAGCCTCAGCAGCTACAACCTCATCTCTCCGACTAACCCCACCCCGTCTCAGAGCAGAATCGCTTGCTCTCGAGTCAAACAATGCAGTATCTTCGCTCTGGTCTCGACCAGCTTCGCGACCGCTACGCGCCTATCCGACACACCTCGACCTTTCGTAGTACCGGCCAAATCACACCGGAAGAATTCCTGCTCGCGGGAGACTACCTGGTCTACAAATTTCCGACCTGGTCATGGTCTGACGCCTCGAGTCCTGCGCGCCGGGTCAGCTATCTCCCCCCAAACAAGCAATTTCTCGTCACGAGAGGAGTGCCCTGCCACAGAAGGTTAGATGAGAACTTTGCAGGTGGACACGGCGCTGCGGATGATCTAGTCAGAGATGGATTCCTAGGCGGTCCCGACGAGGAGACTGGTGGCGGTGAAGACGATGGCTGGTTAAGGACGGGAGGGACGACCGAGAAAGAACAAGAAGGCCTGAGAGCGGAAGTGCGGACGATGAGTGAGAGTGGGCATCTTGGACAAAAAGCCACCGAGGAAGAGGACGAGGAAGAAATCCCGGATATGGAGGACGAGGACGATGATAATGAGGCTATCATAAGAGATAAGGGTGAAGGCACATCTGCGTAAGACACTCCTCTTCCCTTCCAGGTTCTTTCGGGATGAGTTCATGCGCTGACACAGTTCATAGGCCTCTTCGGACATACACACTCTACATCACTTATACACCCTACTATCGTACTCCACGCATGTACCTCTCCGGTTATCTTTCTCCCAGCGAGCCTCTGCCACCGCACCTCATGATGGAAGATATTGTCGGCGACTACAAAGACAAAACCGTCACCTTGGAAGACTTCCCGTTCTTCGACAACAGTGTTAAGATGGCGAGTATTCACCCTTGCAAACATGCCAGCGTGATGAAGATCCTCCTCGACCGTGCCGACGTGGCCTTGAAGCTTCGATTGGAAAGACAGAAAGCGACTGGCACCGCCACCAATATCTCGGGCATGGAAGGCCTGATTGACGATACGGCAAACCTTAGATTGGCTGAGCAAAAGCGTGGACATGAAGCGGGTGTGAAAGCTGCTAGTGGCGGCGCAGGAGACGAATGGGAGGTATTGGATGAGCAAGACAGCAAAGAAGAGGAGAGCGAGAAGGTGGCTATCCGCGTAGACCAATATTTGGTTGTGTTCTTGAAGTTCATGGCGAGCGTAACGCCAGGGATCGAGCATGACTTTACCATGGGCGTTTGATGCATACACGGTGGGCAGCCTACGATGATCGGTACGAATATGATATGAATGGGACAGGGTTGGGATATTGGGCTTCTGGGAGTTGCACACAAGGGCTGAGGCTGTCCCTCAGGTTGATTATATCAATATCAAGAAAGTTATATTCTTACGGGCTAAGGCAAGGAACTGATATGACATTGTTGTTTCGTCCCATCCTAGAATGCTCCAGGCAGCAGTGGCCCCTCATCCCGTCTTCAACGTCTGGAGAATGCTGTATCTTCCATTCATGTCGATGATGTCTTCTCCGACCATCTCTCCTCGTGTTTATCGAATGTTGATTACTCGCCGAGTCTGCAGTATATTATGTCCCACCCCCGGCCAGCTGACCATTGTTATCGCTTACCTCGCCCGACATCACTGGCCACTTCACCTACACGAAGTACCAGAGCGGGTAGAGATGTCACGCCTGACCTTAAACAGAGCGCATCTCGAGCGCATGCAGAAGTCTACGTAATTTCCTATTCGTATTTCTTCGCCGGCTTACAGATGACTCGACGTATATTCGACACCCTGACCGACCGGTCCTTAGTATTCTCACGTCCACGACCGCTCTACCAGGGTACCCAGTCTTGATCGACCCGACTGCACAGGCTGCGCTGCACGAAGACGCCAACCGAGAGATCAACTGGTCGAGTCGTCCATGCTGGTTTGCGTCATTCTGTGGAGTTTGAGCGGCGAATCCGCGGCTTGTCAGCAAACGCGTTGTCTGACTTCCCGTGCGTAGGCTGCGTTCATCTCCTGAGATCAGGTATTTTTCTGCGGATCTCTAACTGATGGCTTTATGGAGAAAAAAAGAGGGAGACATGGGTAATCTTGCAGTGTCGAGTACGTGGCATGCATCATGTTCTCTTCCCTCACGCCCCTGCCACCTGCACCTCCCATGAAAAGCCGAGATGCTCTCCACAGATGCGGCCGCCTCACCGATGTACCAGACAGTTGGACAGACAAAGTCCACTAGTCTCCCAAAGTGGGACGCGGAAACTACGCTGCGTTCGCAAACCCGAGATTCTGTTCACAAGGCTGTGCTCTCGTGGAAGCTCGAACCACTAGATCAAGCAAGAGAAAGATCGAGACACGGCTTGATTTCCTTTTGGCTGCTTGCCCATGTGGCATTCAGGAATCATACACCAAACCAAGGCACATCAGTGACAGGACTTGGGACGGCTGAAAAGGTGCAGAGATGGACATTTCCAAGGATATGTCTTTCCGAAGAAATGATACAGCCTACTGAGCTTGAAGATCAGCCCACTCATCTCACTGGTACCCAGTTCCTTTACAAGGTACATGGTTATCCGATTTCGATCAGGCTGGCACATCTGGTGTGATCACACGGTGGAGCGGCCCGCGGCTTTGAACGCATTGTCCTCGTACGACTTGAATTCGAAATGACACATCCGACGTCGCTCAAGGTTACTCTATTGAGTATAGTAAGAGATGTTTGGGAATATCAAGGCTGCAAATTAGTCAAGGGGCGCTTCACAGGTGTTCCGCTAGGTGCCACGAAGAATGTCAGCAATGCTGGTAGTCACCTGCTGTACGACCCAGACGAACAAATCGCATGTCAACCTCGCTCGTCTTTGCTAGGTTCGAGCATAGCCAACAAGGATTAGCAATATCAAAATCACCACTGGTCGACCAGACCTCGGATGCTTCGGTGCAGGAACCCTGGATCGAGGTAGGATGCTTTCCATCCCATTCCCTGTCGCAGCACAATAGTTTCCGAGCGCGCATATGAGGTCGCATCTATTTTGGACTTGTTGTCGACCAATTCAATTGACCCATGTTGAAACCTCTTCAAGCAGGTGAGCTTCGGAACTCTGGTCCTCCTCTCGCTGAACGTGTACTCTTTCAGACTACCGGTGCTGACAGAAAGCGGTACTTCTCACTGCGTTACCTGATGTCGTTCCGTGGCCTCTTGCATTATGCACCGTGACGCACCGGATGGATCTTGGTTTGGAGGAGAGAAGTATGATGGGAAGAAACGGCCGTTCGGATATCTATATATATAAGAGCCATGGAGAAGACAATAGCATCCGTGACATCTTCGTGTGAGTCGAAAAAGTTACCCTTGAGACCACATCACGCAGTCTCATTCTCAACCATGCGCCCTGTCTACCACCTTCGTGTTCTGCCAGCCATGATCGGTACCACGGTCACACTCCTCTGCGTTATTCACGGAACATTGGCTGCTTGTCCGTACATGCAAGGTGGGCAAGGAATTCAGGGGCCATCGTCGGAGCATGAAGCGAAGAACTACGTGAAACGGCAAATCTCGCTTTCCAACAGCACAGATCCTGTCGACACTTTTCTTGATCAGTTTACGCTCAACGACACCGACACGTATATCACTTCGGACGTCGGTGGGCCTATCCAGGACCAAGAGAGTTTGAAGGGGGGAATCAGGGGGCCTACGCTTCTCGAGGACTTTATGTTCAGACAGAAGATCCAGCACTTTGATCATGAACGGGTGAGTACAACCAAAACACGACACTCGGCTGGAAAGGATACTGAGCTAACGTCTTTGCTCTTACCCAGGTCCCGGAGAGAGCTGTCCATGCGCGAGGCACAGGTTTGTTCAGTGTCTTAGCTGATCGCGCAGTCTCTATAGATTGCTGACTTACCGGCCAGGGGCTCATGGTGTCTTCACAAGCTACGCCGACTGGTCGAACATCACCGCGGCTTCGTTTCTCTCTGCCGCAGGGAAACAGACGCCCATGTTTACCCGGTTTTCTACTGTTGCAGGAAGTAGAGGCAGCCCAGAAACGGTCCGAGACGTCCACGGCTTTGCCACTCGTTTCTACACTGACGCTGGAAATTTTGGTAGGGCCCCTACAGGACAGAGAATTGTCTGAGAACTCTAGAGTTGTCAGAAAACGTTCTAATCGAGATCCAATATAACAGACATTGTCGGAAACAACATCGCACCCTTTTTCATTCAGGATGCTATCCAATTTCCTGACTTAATCCATGCTGTTAAACCGGAACCAGACAGAGAAATTCCACAAGGTGGAACCGCTCACACCACAGCGTGGGATTATTTCAGTCAACAGCCCTCCACTTTGCATACCCTGTTCTGGGCCATGGCGGGCTACGGCATTCCACGATCCTTCCGGCATATGGATGGCTTTGGAGT